AAGCTCTGCTCAATAAAATTGAGTCGACATTGGCGCGGGACAATGTACAATGCCTGTCGGACATTAAATGCAAAATACTCCGTGTCTGACAGCCAAAAAAAAAAAAAAAAGGGGACGACTAGAACAGATTGATAACGAAATAAAGAATAAAAAGAAACATTTTAACAACAAACAGAACATCCAATGAACACTGCGATTAATTTTTTTGCGGGCCATCTTTTTTGGATGCTCTGTTTGTTGGTGATATATTTTTATTCTTTATTTCGTTATAAATCTGTTCTCATACCAATACCTTTACTTTTTGCTGGTTGCGGGACATGGAGTAGGCCTATTTTGCATTTCGCCTCGGACAGTCTTGATCGTGCATGCGATAATTTATTCACACTGTCAATGGTCATGGAATTGATTTGCTCACTGACTACAAGTACTATTTTATCTCTGGTGTGGAAATAAAGCGTGAATCTGTTCGATCCATCTGACTAATTTTCAAAAAGAGACCGAATAAAGACTGTTGTCTATCTTCAACGGAAGAAAACACACAATAAAAAAGACCAAGAAAAGTCGAGAGCTATCAATTTGCATTTTTGTGAAGGTCGAACACAAACATGGCCAAGTTTGCACGTCTATTAATTCCTGGAATACTCGAAAAATTCGAACTTTTATGACTTTCGGACACGGAGATATATTAAAACCCTGTCCGTCTTTGCATTGACTTTGACTGTAATCAGTCGTGCGAAAAATTCGTTTTTCGTCCAGTGTGCAAGCGGCTTTTACTGAGCATAGAGCAAGCATATATATATATATATATATATATATATATATATATATATGCAGTTTGTGGTTGGCTGAGAAAGATGTGAAGTCGTTATTTTGCATCACAGATTCAGCTGCGTTGATTAAGTCAGGTGGAGTTTCCATTACGCGTGCCAACCGCCTTTAATCTGACAACAGGACAATCGATATAGATACTATAATTTATGTCCTGATTTAGATGGTTACATTAAATAGTGGTTGCTGTAATTATTTATTGCATTGAAATGTGTCCGACATTCTGGAAACCTGCCTGTGAGGTTTTGGTGACGTGTCTTACTGTGCGCCGGGTCAGCAAATTACCACTGCGCAGAAAGTTAACCAGGTTGGAGCTGGCAAGCTTTCTGCGCAACTTCAGCGAAGACTTTTTCTACGAAATTGTCACTGCGTCTTGATGGATATGTGACACCTCCCCCTACTACGCCGCCACACCCATCTCGGCGCATGTCTGTCTACCAAATTGCCAAAGTGGCTGCGCACGGTGTTGCAATCGACGAAATTACCACTTGCGGGCTGCACGACGAAATTACCACTGCGTGGGCTGCGCCACGCTACGCCACGCTGCGCCACCCTGCGCTGCGCCAAGAAATTAGGGCCCTCAGTAGCAAGGTGGGGAAGTGAGAGCTGCTCTCTCTCAGTAGCGAGGTGGGGAAGTGAGAGCTGCTCTCTCTCAGTACACAGGGGTAAACAGGCTCTGCTGATTTCATAGGCTGACGAGTTGCATGAATTTTACAACAAATTAAATAACTTTGATGCTAATTTGAAATTTACTATGGACTATAGCAAAGAAGAGGTTCATTTTTTAGATATGTGGGTTAGAAAGAACAATGATACCCTTTCTACTACCTTATATTGTAAGGAAACCGATAAAAATCCTCTTTTATTGGCAAGCAGTTTTCATCCCCCTCCACTCAAGAGAGGGCTTCCCAAAAGCCAATTTTTTAGATTAAAACGAGTGTGCAGTACGACTGATGAATTTGAGGAGCAAGCTGTGGCCTTGAAAGCCAGACTTGCCCAGCGGGGGTACCCAGATGAGTGGATCCAAAGAGCCCATGAGAGCGCAAGGGATACATCCCATTCGGAAATGTTAGAAAAAGTGTGAAAAAAGAGAAGAAATTTTCTGTTACTTGCATCACCTCCCAATCCCCTCACTCGCATGTTATAAGATCTGTTTTTCAGAAACATTGGCACATTGTAAAATCAGACCCTGAATTGTCCGCTACTTTTAAAGATTTGCCTCTTTTTGTTGACAAACGGGGACGGAACCTGAGGGACCGACTGGTCAATGCTAATTTCACACGCCACAACCTACATCTTAGCCAACAGAGGTTGTTAAGTCCCCTTCCCAACGGCAATTACCGTTGTGGAAGTTGTGCACAATGCAATAACACTTACAAAACTAACAGCATCAGTCATCCCCACACTAGTAAAATATTTTCCATCAAGAGTGTGATTACTTGTGCTTCCACTCATGTTGTGTACACACTACGCTGTCCATGTGGGCTAGTATACGTGGGTAAGACGACTAGAAAACTCAACTGAGCATTAGTGAACACAAGAGCGCTATACGTAGAAATGATCGCGGCTACCCTGTAGACACTCATTTTAATGACATGAAGCACGACATTTCAACCCTAAGGTTTTGTGGCATTGAGAAATTGAATCCTCCACCCAGAGGTGGAGATCTTGATTCATTATTAACCCATTTAAACCGGGACAGCATGTGCGCATTTTAAGAACGTGTCGTTGCCGACACAGATATGCGCGTAATTTTGAAAGTACCGTAATTACTGTAAGTTTTGCGCAATAGAAAAAAATTCCAACTGTTCCTGAAAGCTGAGAAGCTGTGCTTCAGCCCAAATACAGGCTACTATGGTAAACATGGCAGCATGATTCTCTGCTGGGATTTTTGCATTAGGCCTTAAAGGGTTAAAGAGGAGGGAAGCGTTCTGGATCTTCACGCTACAGACACTTCCTCCGAACGGTCTAAATGATGAATTGCTTCACAATGTTATGTTATAAATTCCAGTGTGCTGTTTGTTGATTTTAGTGATAGATTCTGGATTTTTGTCATCTTATATATATTTCTTTACTTCCATTGTTATTTACCATTTCGGTATTTTTTTGGAAGGGCTTGTATTTATCCTGTTTGCCCTCCTGTTTATGTATTGCCTGCAAGCACATGTTTACTTTTTGTCTTCACCTTTATAGGTAGAAAGTAAGCCTAGAAGATTTTGGAAGCTTCATCCAAATCGTTAATTTTATCTTTTGAATATATTGTTTTGGTATGTTTAGCCCCATTTTTCCACTGGTACATTTTGATAAGTTTTTATTGTGCAAATAATTACCTGTGTATTCAATAAATTATTGCGAGCGGAAATGCGGAAACTGATGTTCATCAGGAGATAACTGATTATTCATCATGTGCCTGTTGGTTAATGAGGGTGTGACTGTGATTTGTTATGATGTCATGCTTTTTTGGTGTTTTGATTGGTCCACAGTGACCTCACAACTTATATTTATGACCAGGGCTCTCAAGTCTCACGCAATGAGCGTGATCGTCACTCATTTCAGTCGGATGTCACGCACTTATGCCATACATAGCACAACGTATTTCTCACGCAAAAAAAATGATTTAAACGAAAACAATTTCCAACAGTAGGCCTATATGCAAAGCAGCACCGCTATAACTGTGGAAACCGGCAGGAATCAAACACGTCTCCCCTGGAGTCCTTGGCGGCAGCTTGCCACCTGCCAGCCAATCAGAAAAAGGAAAGGGGCTAGAAAATAGCCAACAAGGCAATCAGAGATGGCAGACTTCACCCCATTCACACAAATATTGGCAAGTGCGGAAACACAAACAAACACGCAGAGCCACTAGATGGCAGACTTCACCCATTCACGCAAATATTGGCAAGTGTGGAAACACAAACAAACAAACAAACAAACAAACACACAGAGCCGCTAAAAACAGCACTTCATGCCCACTCCGTGGGGTGAAGCAATAATCAGATAATTGCAATTTTGTATCTGGGTAAGATTTAGGGCAACAACCAATGAAAAAAAAAACACAGTTATCCTGGAATTATTTACATGATCCCGCTACAACAACGTTCTGAAAGCTGCATTATTTATTCACCCACAGTGGAAAACGGGAGAATCATGCACCACCCCCCCCCCAGAGAAAATCTCACTCTAGCCTGCATTAAAAACTGGAGAGCCCTGTGTATGACAGCCCTGGCTTTTTTCTATTTTTCTTACTACCTGACGAAGGTCTCCGACTGAAACATTGTGTGCATTTAATAAGGTTGCCAGCGTAGAGGACTGTGTGCAGGACTTTTGTTTCTTCATAGGCTGATGTTAAACCTACTCTACATGACTCAACAGAGGAGTCTGGTTTTGAGATAAAGATCATCTCTAGATCTCGAGTACCCCTGTGGGGGGCCGGGGGGCCTGAGATCCCTGACTCTGTCCGACCATTTAGTGAACTTAAGGGCCAGCCTGGCGTTCAAGACCAGAAGAGAGAGAGTAAGAGAGAGTGACAGATTCAGGACAGGAAAAGAGAGGGCGACATTCTGGAATACTGCCACAGACAGACAAGCACAGCGTCTCTCTCGGCTTAAGAGGGAAGTGCTTTTACAAGACCACCCCTCCCCCCAGGATTCCAGTGGTGATTTCCCAGGAGGGCTCACGATTATTGCGAATGTGTGTGCTTTCATAGAGCCGTTTCATTATACACTACCACATGCATGGTAGGAGCCAGGGGTGTTCAGAATTTCTTGACCTAAGTAAGATACGTGTAGCACACTGACAGGTAGCATTCATCTCACGTGATAAGTTCTGTAGAGCGATCAGACTGAAACCAGAGCAGACTGTAAAAACTGTACACACAACGAGCCTCAGAGCTGTACAGAGCAGGGTCCTCCACAGACGTTCTCACTGTAAATTAGATAAGACAGATAATTTTTTGAACCCTGTGGGGTAATTAGTCCTCTGTATTTGACCCATCCTATAGTTAGGAGCAGTGGGCAGCCACAGAGCAGCGCCCGGGGACCAACTCCAGTTCTAAAGCCAGTTCCTTGGTCAGGGGCACCGGTAGGAGTGTTCCTATGATGCATGTTTTTCTGGGTGGAGGAAACCAGAGGAAACCCATGCGAACACGGGGAGAACATGCAAACTCCACACAGAAAAGCCCCAGGCCGGAATCGAACCCACGACCTTCTTGCTGTGACACAGCAGTGCTAACCACTGCACCACCTGCTAGCAGGACATTGAGTATTTTGCGCTTTATGCACTCTCTTGCAGGACTGAGAGTCAGCTATTGACAGGGCACAGTTACACACAATAAATCACTAATCACTGACATAATTATTCCCTCTGGAAAGGAGGAGTTAACATTGTACCTGAGACAGATCAATGGACCACAAAAAATATTTTCATTTATAAGTGTAACCCATGATAATTCAATCATCAAAATGCAAACAGTGTACCTTTACTGTGTTTCGCCATTTTGATATTAGATGAACATCTAATAATTTGATCAAAAAAGTAAGTAAAATAATGGATATTAAATGCAATAAATAGAAAAAACTAATGGTAATTTAAAGCACAAATGGAAAGCAGGAATTGACCAAGGGGTAAATTTAAAGCAAAGTTAGATAATTTTGTTAGGAAATGGATTTTTTAGCACCCCAAAGAGTAATTTCGATGTGGAAAAGCTTGCCTGACCATATTGTTGAGGCAGAAACCTTGGGAATTTTTAAGAGCAGGCTTGATCTAGCTCCAGATAACATTGAGTCATTAAGTATTTGTAGTGATAAATTCACTATCATAATAAGAAACAGGCAAGCCTAGTTGGCTGAACGGCCTGTTTTTGCCATTCATGTTATGTTATGTTATTTGACACTCATAATTCAGCATTAGTTGACCAAAAAAAATTGTCCTTTTACAGACACTGCCCAGTGTCCTCTGTCTGTGACTGCGCAGGGAGTAGGTCAGTATCATAGCCTCAGCCCTCTGTCTGTGACTGAGCAGAGAGTAGGTCAGTATCATAGCCTTGACCCTCTGTCTGTGACTATGCAGAGAGTAGGTCAGTATCATAGCCTCGGCCCTCTGTCTGTGACTGTGCAGAGAGTAGGTCAGTATCATAGCCTCAGCACTCTGTCTGTGACTGTGCAGAGAGTAGGTCAGTATCATAGCCTCGACCCTCTGTCTGTGACTGCGCAGAGAGTAGGTCAGTATCGTAGCCTCAGCCCTCTGTCTGTGACTGCGCAGAGAGTAGGTCAGTATCATAGCCTCGGCCCTCTGTCTGTGACTGCGCAGACAATAGGTCAGTATCATAGCCTCAGCCCTCTGTCTGTGACTGCGCAGAGAGTAGGTCAGTATCATAGCCTCAGCCCTCTGTCTGTGACTGCGCAGAGAGTAGGTCAGTATCATAGCCTCGGCCCTCTGTCTGTGACTGCGCAGACAATAGGTCAGTATCATAGCCTCAGCCCTCTGTCTGTGACTGCGCAGAGAGTAGGTCAGTATCATAGCCTTGGCGCTCTGTCTGTGACTGCGCAGAGAGTAGGTCAGTATTATAGCCTCGGCCCTCTGTCTGTGACTATGTAGAGAGTAGGTCAGTATCATAGCCTCGGCCCTCTGTCTGTGACTGCGCAGAGAGTTGGACAGTACCATAGCCTCAACCCTCTGTCTGTGACTGCGCAGACAGTAGGTCAGTATCATAGCCTCGGCCCTCTGTCTGTGACTGTGCAGAGAGTAGGTCAGTAGCATAGCCTCGGCCCTCTGTCTGTCTGTGACTGCGCAGAGAGTAGGTCAGTATCATAGCCTCGGCCCTCTGTCTGTGACTGCACGGCTGCAGGTAAATCCCGGATACAGACCTGTAGCACTGACCGGATCAGACTGCACTCCATACCGACGGCATAACTCTAAATGCTCACGTATAATCAACCACAGTAACGGACAGGAGTGCAGGCGGTCACACCTGTGCCATGTCCAATCAGTCTTGCAGTTTTAAGCCCCTCCCATTCAGAGGTCAAGAGACAGCTGCCAGTGCTCAGGAGAAATTAAACGTGAAGGATACAGGCATCGCCGTGCTGCGATCCAACCTCATCTGTCGTTAAATCCCCAATGTTCTCTGAAACACTCTCCCAACACATACCGGCAAGCCTTCTGTAAAACACCATTCATGAGACACGGCACCTGTGAGTGTTTTATAGTGAAGGAACATGGAGCTACGACACATGAGGAGATGAAGCACGCAGGTCCTGATGCAGATACAGCATCAGTACTCTCAGTGTAAAATCTCCTGCAGCTTTGCTACAAAATGCCTGATGCAAACTCATCTTGTTTCTTAAATTCTCCAACACTCGAGATCATGTCATTATTTTTTCATTAGATACAGTAAGCCAGTGCTTTCCAGATAGATACAGTAAGCCTGTGCTTTCCGGATAGATACAGTAAACCAGTGCTTTCCGGATAGATACAGTAAGCCTGTGCTTTCCGGATAGATACAGTTAGCCTGTGCTTTCCGGATAGACACAGTAAGTCTGTGCTTTCCGGATAGATACACTAAGTCTGTGCTTTCCGGACAGATACAGTAAGTCTGAGCTTTCCGGACAGATACAGTAAGCCTGTGCTTTCCGGATAGATACAGTAAGTCTGTGCTTTCCGGATAGATACAGTAAGTCTGTGCTTTCTGGATAGATACAGTAAGCCAGTGCTTTCCGGATACATACAGTAAGTCTGTGCTTTCCGGATAGATACAGTAAGCCTGTGCTTTCCGGATAGATACAGTAAGTCTGTGCTTTCTGGATAGATACAGTAAGCCTGTGCTTTCCGGATAGATACAGTAAGTCTGTGCTTTCCGGATAGATACAGTAAGTCTGTGCTTTCCGGATAGATACAGTAAGTCTGTGCTTTCCGGATAGATACAGTAAGCCTGTGCTTTCCGGGCATCGTTTTTCTGTAACAGGGCAGCATTAAGATGTGGGTGAAGTGTAGGTTTCACTCAGTAAATCTCCAGAGTGACTCAGGGATGTTTACAGTCTGACAGGGTGCACAAGCAGACACTGCTGAACAAACGGAGGTCATACAGAGGTCAGGTGTGGGGAGAATGTCAGGGTCTAACAGGCAATCCTGGGGTTCAGATCTGAGAATTTGAGTTTAATAACACTGAGCATTCCTCCAGCTCAAAAATCTACATCACCCTTCATACAGAATGATCATATAATTCATCCCACGTATGCTGATCTTAAATAAAAACTGAGCAAAACTCAGTTCAGTTGAGCATGTGTTTTATTTCAGAATGATGCACAATAATAAATTAAACCTGAGTGGTGATAATTGTGCTTTTTATTTCCTCAGATTGGTTGACCTTTCACATCCAGCCAAATATTATCCATTTTTCCACAGAACTACTTTTTATATTTTTTCACTGTGCAATTTTCAGGCCCAAAAACATCATAGGTTTTATAAACAGAACTGTAAATTCACGACACAGTCAGGGAATATGTGAGGAATCAAAGCTTACTGTGCCGATGCCTGTCAGTCCATTGGCTTCGCCAGTACAGGATCCACTGAGCCGCTCTGATTCGTCAGTACAGAAGCCACTGAGCAACTCTGATTCGCCAGTACCGCATCCACTGAGCCGCTCTGATTGGTTAGTACAGAAGCCACTGAGCCACTCTGATTCGTCAGTACAGGAGCCACTGAGCCGCTCTGATTAGTCAGTACAGGAGCCACTGAGCCACTCTGATTCGCCAGTACAGGAGCCACTGAGCCCCTCTGATTCGTAATTACAGGAGCCACTGAGCCGCTCTGATTTGTCAGCACAGGAGCCACTGAGCCGCTCTGATTCGTCAGTACAGGAGCCACTGAGCCGCTCTGATTCGTCAGTACAGGAGCCACTGAGCTGCTCTGATTTGTCAGTACAGGAGCCACTGAGCCACTCTGATTCGTCAGAGCAGGAGTCAATGAGCCGCTCTGAGTTGCCAGTGCAGGAGCCACTGAGCCGCTCTGATTCGTCAGTATCGGAGCCACTGAGCCACTCTGATTCGTCAGTACAGGAGCCATTGAGCCGCTCTGATTCGCCAGTACAGGAGCCACTGAGCCGCTCTGATTCGCCAGTGCAGGAGCCACTGATCCGCTCTGATTCGTCAGTACAGGAGCCACTGAGCCGCTCTGACTCGCCACTGCACGAGCCACTGAGCCCCTCTGATTCGTCAGAACAGAAGAGCCACTGAGCCCCTCTGATTCGTAATTACAGGAGCCACTGAGCCGCTCTGATTCATCAGAACAGGAGCCACTGAGCCCCTCTGATTCGCCAGTGCAGGAGCCACTGAGCCACTCTGATTTGTCAGTACAGGAGCCACTGAGCCGCTCTGATTCGTCAGTACAGGAGCCACTGAGCCCCTCTGATTCGTCAGAACAGGAGCCACTGAGCCGCTCTGATTCGTCAGTACAGGAGCCACTGATCCGCTCTGATTCGTCAGCTGAAAGAGGTTTTTTTTAAGGCAGGGATTGGCTCTATTCGCTTTGCCATAAAAAAGAACATAATTTAGGTCTCCTGCCGTATTCACTCTTCCCCGGTTTCCATAGCGACCAGCTCGCAGCCCTGACTTCGGAATAAGGGGGGTGGCCTCGGAGGACAGAGGCACTCGTGCTGGAGTTACGCAGCTAAGCATCGCCTGGGGCCAATTACACCAGTCCCGACGCGCGGAGGGTTAACCTCATCGATCCTGCCTCCAGAGTAAAATAACACACCAGGAGGCAGCAGAAATCATGTAAATAAATACGAGTGTGAACTGGGACATAGATATCCGTAAATCCGTTATCTAACACTTATCTATCCAACAAATACAATACACTCATACACTCAGGACCCAGTCATTGAATGGATCCCAATCATCGCTCTTATACAGAATTCATAACTATGGACAACTCAGAGCCTCCTTAGTGACAAGGAGAACATGCAAACTCCTCACAGAAGGAAAACTAGTGATTTGCACCGTCTCAAAACTACTCCCATCTGCACAGTAAACTGCATGTGTTTGGACTGTGGGAGGAAGTGCTCAGGGACAATCCAAACTAACATGGGGAGAACAGATGAGCACACAGAAACACCAAACCCAAGACCTTACAGCAGTGAGGCACCACAGATAAGCTCAGTGCCATTGACTGGAGAAGAAAAGCCCCCAGAGACACCAGCAGTGGTGCCACCGAGGTCCAGTTTAAGCCTGAGCACTTAATGGGAGAGCTGTCCTAT